TAAGTCAATTTAAATTCATTTTACACTATTGTTGCTACTGTTATCATTGTAATTGCAGCTCCTGATGATGATGGCAAAGTCCATTGAAAGCTAGAGAGAATTAAAAAAGTATAAAGAGTCCTCTTTGCTTAAATTTTGTCGAAGTACCCAACAAAAGGCGGAAGCTTTAATTTTTCACCTAACTGGTCTAGACGACAATGACCACGTCTCAAGTTATATATATATATATATATATATATATACAGATTCCGATAGTTAGGTCCTCCACTCATTGGCTTTTTAGAGTCGATAGGTCCTCCGTTGCGCTAGGTCCTCCGTATATGGATGACCTATCGCAAATTTCACCAGTCGACCTGAGGGGTTCCCCTTTGTCACCCGGCAAAATTCCAGACAGATCGTGTTTTTTGTTAAATTTGGGTACCGTAGTTTCGGGCTTTGCCGCGCCGATTTGGTGGACTCACAGTCGCGCGGGTATTCAATCAAGTCTACAGTGGATAGGTCATCTGCCTGGTATTCAGTATCTAGATCGTGGCTTTTGGGTCCTCCTTAATATTGGCATCGCTGTATTAGGCATTTATTAGAATTGTTTTGCAAGAGGATTGGATTTTCATCTTCCTATGTCTGCTACGGCCCAGTTTGCCGTCAAGTATTACACTCAAGCGGCCGTGACCGGTAGTACAGTTATGCAGCGATGATATTTGTTCGAATGTAATGCTCAAATCCAATATTCTATGGAATAAAATGAAAGATGTTATTTTTGTTTTACGATTTAAGACAGATGCCTTTACTTACCGCGTCTATTGACAGGAATTATTGTAATCATAAAAAAATCTGCTTTAGGTTGCTGTTATGCCATGCACAAAGAACCTTGAATATTCTCGGAAATCGGTGGAGTAACAGCAGAGTGGTTAACAAACGAAGAAAAAAATGGTCAAACTTCGCTTCCGGATGTTTCAGACATTCCTCTAAGAAAATTTTAGGGCTGTAAATTTTGGTGCCGGGGGTTACGGGCGGCGGAGTTAGTATTAAACAACGACAAAACTAAAAATCGTTTTAAGTATTTCTGAATATTTTAGAGCTTCCTAATCGTTTTCCGAATAATTTTTGGAGGTAGGGGGGCTGAGGGAATGAGATGAATCTGGATTTGGCGAGGTGTTAGTTAAGGTATTCTATTTTCAATAAATCTTCAGATCGACTTCCTGAACATCAATCACCCCGCTTCAGAGGTAGTTCTTATCGGTGATTTAATGCCCATAATGAGCTTTGGTTGGGCTCAAACAAGACCGATGCAACAGGTCGTGCAGTCGAAGCGCTCGCTCCTACTCAAGGGCTGACCCAGCTGGTGGCGATCCCTACTTTTTCCCCGCGTCTCATCACACGTCATTAGCCTGCTGGATCTCTTTCTGACCACGCATCCTGTCCCTTACAGCACTGCTGTCCTGTCCCCCTTGGGTAACTCAGACCACGGTGTTGTGGAGGTTAGGTTTCGGTCACAACCGCTGTGGCAGCAGAAACTCGTACAGGCCTCAAGACTTGACATTACGGACATGCCGACCTGGGAGGGGCTCAGAGACTTCTTCTCTAACTTTCTTGGAGAGATGTCTGTTCACTGACGCGGGTGCGTCGGCTGTCTGTTCTTCGATAACAGAAATTATCCACGTCGGAATGGAGGAATACATCCCTCACACAGTGAAAGTCCTAAACCAGGGTCCAATGGCTGGTTTAACAAATCGTGTGACACTGCTCGCCAGCAGAAGAT